AGAGCAATCGTGGGATCCATCGACAACAAAGCTTCCTCACTCCAAGATGTTGATGCAGGATAGGTGGTATTGACGCTCCCCGAACTAATGCCTAGGATCTTCTCAATGTTCGTGTACGTGATTCGTGGATCTTCTCGCACCAACATTTCAGATGGCCACACATTTTCTGCAGTAACTGCTGTTTCCGGGCGTCCGCCTCTTAGGTCATCTTCAAGATTAGTTTTGTCTCTTTTAAATTCCTTAAACCACCTAAAAACTGTTGCACGAAAAGGAGCAGAGTCATCTAATGCTTACTGCAAACGTTCCAAACTCAATTGTTCAGTTAAACCACATTTAAAATCATAGAAGATCATAGCACGCAAATGTTTACAGTTAAGATCCATTATTGCAAAGAAAAAGCGCGGGAAGCGTTGTAGTAAAATGACTAACAATGTAATTTTTTTTTAATTTAGCTAAATTGCTTTTGGTGATCTATTTTTAAATAAATTTGCTTTTTAAAAACATATAATATGGGTGCGTTCCATTTTTAAATTTCGAGTATCTCAAAACTTATTGAGTGCCCTACGTATGTATAAATCTGTTTCGTCGATGTTCTTTCATTCATTCTCTCTACATGTCCGAACCATCTAAGCACACCTTTCTCTATCTTTGTCCCTATATCTTCTTCCACGCCGCAACGCTTTCTTATCACACTGTTCCGTAATTTATCCATCAGAGTCACTCCAGCCATACTTCTCAAAGCTCTCATTTCTACAGCCTTAATTCTACTTTTGTGCTTCTTCTGCTATACTTAACATTCACTACCGTACATAAGTGTAGGAACCAGGTACCTTTGATATTTTCTTTTTCATTTCTCGCCTCGCCCATCCTCGTCAATCCAGACCGAAGGTGCGCTAGGAGAGAATTGAAATTTTGTCATACAAATTTCAATCCTCGTCTCGCCTCGCCGGTGGAAAAGCACTTTAAGATCCTACGACCATGTGTGCCGCATACCCGGTACCATAACACTGAAGCTCGCAACCCGCATTTGGCCGTCATGGTGAACTCCGACCTGAACCTCTCTTTAGAGAAGAACGGTACCTAGCTGAGCGATGTATAAAGGGTTGATAATGACGATGCATATCATCATATAGTACAATAAATAAAAAAACCTTATTTTGATTATATTTCCACGGACCATCCAGAATTATACGGAAGGTACAGATACATTAGGTGTTTCTGAGATCACAGATTAGTATGGAGAGTGCCATTCTTATATATTTTTTTTTGCTTACACTTAAACAGTATAAAAAAAGACCTCGAAATATTAGTTATACATTTAATAAATGTAAACATTAATGATAATGAAATTAACAACATACGTTTTATGTTAAAAATATTAAACCAACAATTTTTTTATTAACATTTTTGACTTTATAAATTTAAACTATCACAGTGATTCAAAGGCAACGCAATTAACAATTTAACATTGGATAATTGTCAAGAAAACGTTTTACATTTAGTACAACTGGACGTATACCTAGACGTACTTGTAAAGGCTTATAAAACGCGATTTAGGTTCAAATTATACGACATTATTCTCATTTAGTATTTACATAAAAGTAAGTTCATAACCGCTTCAACATTAAATAAAAATTTTAAGATCCGGATTTTCGGTCTAATACTGGTTACATTGAGACCCGTTTGTGACCACTGAAGTCACATGTCAATTGTATTGGCGTTAGCAAACGCCTAAAACCGTTGCAAGATGGCTCAATAACAATACGTTAACACAAAACTTTAGGCACATTCAACAAAATAATAAAATATTTATTAGCTTCAATTTATCAATGTGTGTCACAATAGTACTGAAATAGAGTTTATTTTTCAGGTAAGTTTATTTTTATGGTGAAATATATATTATGTTAATGTGAAGGTTTTACCGCCTTCCCTTACTTCTTCACAATTAAAAATAATTCAAAATAATTTTGTCATAATTTCATATTGAAGTCATATGGTGACTTCTTTACTACATTTACAAAACAAAGAGGTCGCATATACGTGTTCTTATGACCACGTTGTCGGGGCGGCCATTACATTCGCTAAGATTCTACATTTCCCATTTATATACCTATATTTATTTTTTTCGACATCATATACGTTCCTCGGATTCCAAAGTAATTGTGTTATGGAAATCGGAAACAACGTCGTTACAACACGCAGACCCGAGACAATATAGAAAAGTTTTCACGGGACTTCAGAGATGGTGACGCCATGACAACCGGTGTGCAAGCCACTTGACCACGGAGGCCTTCACACTAATAATACACACATTCTATCATGAACCAAGTACAAATATCAACTTTTATATATGTTATATATAATATAAATATAGTATGTTAAGTATAATAAAACGCGACTCACAACTCACAAGATTGCGCTCGTATGGTCTCATCTTTAACTAGTCGTGACGATGTTCATTCAACATATCTGCCGTCTTCTAACTCAAGCGTGGCTAAGTGAGAATAGAAATAAGATAGAAAACAAAATTCTCTTTTAAAATTATAACAATTTAAAACTTAAAACATTTAAAAAAATTAAACAACTTAAAAAAATTAAACAATATTCTAAAACTGGGTTATGGTTGTTTATGATATCTCAAAAAAATATTTTGTCACACAGCCGCGCTTTAGTTAATAATAATATAATATAAGACAAATATAATATAAGTTAGTTAAATACCACTATATATAACCTAAACTTGAATAAAATTATATGACTTTTGTTAGTTGTATTGTGTAAAAATATATTCGAGATTTTTATTTAAAAACAATCAATTCGGAAAATATTTCACTGTAAGATAGCTTACAACAATTTTATTATTATATTCTATGTTTTACATAATTTTACAAAACCCTTTTTTGTTCCAAGTACGTTTTCCTAATTAATAACTAAATGTCACTAAGTGTACCTAATTATTTTTATAACTCCTCCTTTTGAGACTCCATGTTATATACTGGCTCACCATTAAAATCATAACAAATAAAATCATCAACGAATAGCCATTTTAACAAATCAGGGTTTGAATTTATCAAATTATTTATTTTCTTTGATAATTTTTTGTTTGATAATTATCTCATAATAATTTGATAATTATCCACGCTGATTCACAGTTTTATGTCTAATTTTTAACTAAAAATTACAAAACTGTGAAATCTATATAAACACGAGTAGTGTTTGGGTATTTTAATTCACACTTTGGGATACGTCTGTGATACAAACACATGTCACGACATTGCTAGCGGTAGCACTTTGTTGTTTCAATTAATTTTATAAATATCAATATCAAATTATTATCGAGACAATTATCAATAATAATTATCACTTCGAACCCTGCAAGAAACTACACACATGCTTTTTTGCCAAAATAATTTAAACTAATTTAATTGCAGTCATTATTTATAATAATAAGTAATATAAGTTAGCGTAATAAACCTGAGTACACACTGTGGTAGTTGAAATCGATGCTGGAAAGGTAACATGTCTGATTTGCATTTGGAAAATATTACAACAAAGTAATATATAGTTATTTGTTATTCAAGAATGCAAAGTTGTTGTTTGATCCGAATGGTTGTATTGAAACTTGAGCATGCGAAGGAAGCTAAGATTGAATAAAAAATAGAATCCTGAGCATAGCGAGGGTTTCAGGGCACGAGACGCAAAACAATTTCGTTGCCGAGCGAAACACACAACTTTTCTCTTCATTACACCGAGGAAAATGGTAGATGAAAGAAAAACAGTTGAACTCATTGACTTACAAATAAATGGACGGAATGGAAATACAAAAACCACGAAAAAAATGTCCCAAGTCAACCTATTTAAACGTAGTGACATGTAAAGGAATATGAAAAAGCTTAAACGTTGAATTTAAATTGTAATGTCATCGCAGTACTGTCTAATTTTGCTTGCTTCGCTGTCAGTCGAACAAACGAAGACTATAGCGTGAATGACGCTCTGTATACGATTTTAACGCCCTATAAGTTCGGACACTTTTTAGCGCGGACCCGACGTCCATATAATTGTAAGTCAATGGTTGAACTATAACAAATCAGTTTTAATAAACAAAATTAGTTGTCGTTGTCAATTTGATGCCAACAATAATAACAGACAGAACAGAGTATTAAAAAAACTGACCTCAAAAGTTCGTGGAATTACTTCTTTTAGTCAAGTTTTATTGAAATCGGTTACCGGAAAGTGCGCGAAACCGGGTTCAACCCCTAGTTTGCCAACCCTAGAGGTGGAATATTTTCTTCAAATTTAAATGGAACAACTACTGAGATACCCTCTGCCCAACAAAAAAAGAATCATAAACATCTGTTCACAAATTAGTTACAGTTATCGCGTAACGTAGAAAAAACACAGTAGAATTGACCTCCTCATTTTTTTAAAGTCGGTATAAAGTGTACCAACTGATTTGTTTTAAACATTGACTTCCAAATAAATGGACGACGGGTCTAATACAAAAACCACGAAAAAAATGTCCCAAGTCAACCTATTCGAAATTTAAATTGTAATGTCATCGCAGTATAGCGCTGTTAGTAGAACAAATGAAGACTAAAGCGGAGTTTGGCGCTCTGTATACGATTTTAGCGCCTTACAAGTGCGGACACTTTTTAGCGCGGACCCGACGTCCATATAATTGTAAGTCAATGGTTTTAAATAAATAATGTACGCCAAATCGCGTTGTCACCACGATTTTTTATTATCGAAAGAAAAAGTTATGTGCACTACAGTCCATCGTTAAGTTCGAATTTCAAAAACCTTTTCCACTCTAGCGTGGAAATAACGCTTTTGCGCGTCGATTTCTAATGAGAAGGGTAGCCTTTCCGAACTTGTGAGGTGAAAAAAAAAACGTACAGTCGAGTTATTTAAAAATTATTCTTTTTAAATAACCATAAATCTAATTTTGTTTGTTATATGTTATATTTACTTTTCCATTTATCGAATAAAATTTTTCGAACAGTATTTTTTTCTTATAAAGCACTTTAAATCGCTCACCTGTAATATTTCGTAATATTTTCCAAATGCACGTTAGACGTTTCACATTTCCAGCGTCGAAATATAGTTGTGGTGTGACACAAAAACAAAAATTACCAGCTTTTGTATCGTGTACTACATTTATTTGTTCATGCGCACGACATTTATGTACTTTATCACACTTTCAGAGATTTTGCGTCAAAATTTCGTCTCGTTAAGCTGTTCCATGGAGCGTGCAAAGATCGCAGATATTTTTTTTAAGAAAAAAGAAAACCTGTCTTATTTAACATGGAACGTCGATAAATATTGAACTTGAATTAATACCTAATTTTATGGATACACTGCAACCCAAGGAGCACATCTTATATATTTGAAACTATTCTGGTGGTACGTATGATCATTGTGCAGTGCCACTCAGAGCTTTTTCAGATTATCGTTGTTTTTTATATAACAAGTGATGGGTGAACAAGTAGCGCACCTGTGGTAAATGACACGCTTATCCATAACGGTTACAGAGCTACTCAGAGCTTTAAATTGCAAAGATTGAGGGGCACTGCCACTGCGTTCGTCACCCTCAGACATAAGTTGATAAGTCCCATGTGTCTTACACTTCAAAACCGGAACGAAATAAGTAAGGTGGCAATACTTTACTGAACTACCTCTTTGGATCTTTACTGGTAGTAAAGATTTAAAACTGCATTACCAATATTAGTTTCATGGCCTATATATTGTCTAAAAACTGTCTTCAAATCTAAATTTTAAATCTAATCCTGTCCTACAAATGGTTTTATAGCATTCTAGAATGGATATTTGAGAAAAAGACGAGAGTTTAATGATAAAGGTGTGCCCACTTTTACTAGAGGAATAGGGTAGGTATCTATTAACATTCTTCTTAACTTAGACGAGTGGCGGTAAAGTCACTTATTATATTTGTTAGAAAAGGATTTTGTCCATGCATAGCGATAATCAACAAAACAGTATCTATTACTCATTTTGAAAAAAGAAGAAAGAACGAATGCGTGACAGTGGTCAGTATTTTTTGAATTGGACTATGTCCGTACAAAAATTTGTCTATACAAAAGATATTACTTTTCAGCCGCCCCTCGTAGATGTGCTCCTTGGGGAAACTGAGTTTATATTTCTAATATTTATAACTATTAGAAGGTTACGTGGTATTAGCTAACCCAGCACATTCTTCTAGCTGCTTGACAACTTCACTTGCTTTACGATGGGCGTCGTTCCTCAGCTTTGTGAGTTTCCGATGGGCGTGAACGAGTAGGTCTTTGTAGGAGCGTCTGGATATAGGAATGTCTGAAAGTACGCGGTTGAGTTCTACCTTTGCGAGGTTACGCCAGCGTGCCACTTTCGGGGTCGTCTGAAATAGAAAATGCACTGGGTGACTTTCATTCTGTCGTGCTAGTTAATCCCTTCCATGGATGTCTGCGTTTAACTTAACAGTCGATACAACCTCAAATGGCTATGATTGAGTCCGCATAACAGTGAAAAAGTTGAATCAAACACTTTGTGAAAAGTATATAGCAAACTTGAGGATATTCTGTACGTGGTACGCGCGATTGCATCGCTACACTTGCGATTTATAGGCGATTGCATCGATGCAATCGCGCGCTTGCATCGTTGCTGCTTGCTGCTATGCTACACGTCGTAGAAACATGCCTTCCGCTCAAAGGCGTTCACGAGTCTTCCGCTTTGCGTTGTGGAAAGACTTGCGCGCATACGCGCGCATCGTCTTGCCTTTGTTTCGGTAGTCGACATTCTCGAACCAGTTGCTGCTCTGTGATAGGATAGTGGTGCTGTCCTCCGCAAACGTTCCTTGTTGCTTGCGTGGAAATATCAGTAAACTCACACAACACAAAGAAATCCAACACAACGCAAGCGACCGGCTCGTGAACAGTCCTATCTGCGCATACGCGACAGATCTTTGCGTATGCGCGAAGCGAGTCACGCAAGTAAGCGAACAACGCTAGCAAAAGACTCGTGGATAAAGGTAGACGATTAGCGACTGCATCGCGTTTGAATCGCAAACGCAACATCGCTGCTAAAACTCGCTGTGTTAATGGCTCGAAATTACTTACCTCGCAAGCTATGCCACACCTTTTTATAACTGTCTCACACTTTCTGATATAGTTTTCGCTCTGAAAGAGAAAAAAAAATACAGGAAGAGTTTTTAGCAGAAAAACTATAGATAAGCATTACTGCATAAATATTTTAATATATTTAATGATACTAAGGACCAAATTAAGAGGAATTCCTAATCTCCATACTACAGGTCGTATATAGGTCTAAAAAAAGGTAAAAATTCGTCTTATAATCTAGATGGCGCTAGGGAATATCCTAAAAGTATCAGTAGCCGTGGATATCAACTAACTTTTCTTTAATATGAAATAGAAGAAGTCAGTTTCTTTCCTTGTAATATTATTCAAATATTGATCGTGGGCTGAAAATATTTTCTGAACTTTGACTATACCGCACTGTTAATATAATAGTGTATTAACTCTAAAAGTGTACTTTGCAGAATCGATGAAAAACTAATTACTCACTTCCCGTGAAAAATCATTAAAATTTACGTATAGGGCATAGTTTATTGCAGACACTTAATCAAATCTGCTTGCCAAATATATTTAAAAATAAAGTGGGAAAAAATATGTCACATTTTTGAATAAGGACATTTTTGGCCAGAACTAGATCACATACAGTGTGACTCTTTATGAGTTAAGTAGATATCTTTTAATATTATTTCTTACAATATTGAGAATTGTGTAGAGAATCAAATTTTACATTCAGTGACTGACATTTTGATTAATTCAATTTCACATATGTTGAGTTACAACACTATTGTAATAGCAGTGCGATATCGCACTGTTAATAGAAAAGTGTACTAACTGAAAATGAGTATTTTTTCAGAATCGATGAAAAACGAGTTACTCACTTTCCGTGAAAGATTATTAAAATTTATATTTAAATTTAAATTTATATAATTTATATTCAAATCTACACGGTTAAAGTTTATTACAGACATGTAAACAATTTTCTACTCCCCATACATACTGATATTTGCGTAAAGACTTACAAAAAATTTGTCTCTTTTTGAGTTAAGTATATCTTTCAATTGCTTCTTACAATATTGTAATAGCAGTGCGATATGTCAAATAAGTTATAAATTAACGTTTCCAAATGTGGATAGATGGCGCTAATCCTAAGCAAAACAATATAGCCGGCACTATCCATAGAAATCTGTGTAATAAGCGCCATCTAGTTGATTTGTTTGTTATTACTAGAAATTGGAGTAGCTTTAATAAATTGCAGTTTGTCAATGTAAAACAAATTACTTACAAAAATACCTATTTGGCATTCGCCGCGACGTCTGGTGTACCAATAAATACTAAATACGCTATCATGTATCGCGATTAGCAGTCATTTTGAACCATCGGTCCATGATACTGCAAAGAACCGAGGTAGCCCAATGGTTTAACATACCGCCTTTCACGCAGAGGCCGTGGGTGACAAAACTTGCACGTCGAAGAAGGTACGGAACCTTCGGAAAACGAGTGAAATTCCCAACATTGGGTCAGCGTGGCGGACTACGGCCCAAACCCTCGTCTGAGAGAAGATTTTGGTACGCAATTTGCAGTTTGACTACATCCTTACATGAAAGGAACTATTTAGCTGGATTACAGAAGACGTGGTTAGCGGTTTGGTCTTTTAATGCCAATACATTGCTGGAGCAATTGCTTTTTTTTTAATAAATAAGAGACACACGCTTGACCACAATTTCACCTAATGTTAAGCGATGGTACGCGTTTGCCTAAAAAATGCCTATTCACTCTAGCTTTTCGGGAAACACAGATAGGGTACCGGTAGAGTATTCCATTCTTTTGCCATACGCATCAGAAAGGAAGAAGCAAAGCGTTTAGTGCGAATGATGTGGTATATCTTAGACATAAGGACGGAGTGTTCCGGACTTTCTAGTCGACCGAAGGAGGAACGGTGAGAGTGGAACCAAATCGAAAAGATCCTCCCCGAAATGTATCGGATAGAAAACCGACAAGCAGGCTACTTTTCTGCGATGGTCGAGATTTTTTACTACCTATTCTTATTTTTTGTTACGACTTCGTACCTATCGTAAGCAATAATGTAGATTTTATTATTTACCCTTACACAATTTACCTTGTTAAGATGCATGTGAAAAACGATCATGTGCCCTTTGAAGAATTTATTGTGATTTACGGAACTGAACATGGCAGAGAGGTGAGAATCGTCTTTGATCTTCTTTAAGCGTGTGTCAAACTGCGTGCGGCATGACTCAGGCTGAAAGATAAAAATGGCATTGTATAGGTAGGTTTAGGCCTGCCGAAGCATTCCGTCGCGACATCGTGCTCGCGCGTGCTCTCTTCAGATAAGTAATTTTTTGGAAGATCTGATCAGTAATGATTTGAGAGGGTAAAGGTTCTGGTGAAATTACAGGCACATGGGACTTGTCAATGTCTCAGGGTAACGGGCGCTGTGGCCCTAAGATCTTTGTGATTTAAAGCTCTGAGTGGCATTGCAACTGTTATGGACAGGCGTGTCGCCTACCACCAGGCGCATGACTTGGTCGTCCCGTCACTTGGTATAAAAATCTCTAATAATTTTAATATGGGGCGTCTTAGTTGAGTGGTAATATGAGAATAGACTATAATATAATATATAATAAACTGTACGAATAACATCTAAAAAAAAATAATTAAAAAATTAAAAACTGTTTATTACAAATATTAATAACAAGTTACAGTACATTCGAGGTAGAATCTTAAAATTAAAGATTATTTATCCTTTTCTAGTGTGTTGCGTTAATATGTAAGGTACAACAATTAAATCAATGACCAGTTTGTGTAAGCCTCCTCAGATATTGATCTTTCATATAAAATCTTTTTAATTTGTTTTTGACTTGTATAGGATTTTTATCTGTTATTTCATTTATAAGATTTTTTGGTAATGTCATCGCAGTACTGTCTAATTTTGCTTGCTTCGCTGTCAGTCGAACAAACGAAGACTAAAGCGTGAATGACGCTCTGTATACGATTTTAACTCCCTATAAGTTTGGACACTTTTTAGCGCGGACCCGACGTCCATATAATTGTAAGTCAATGTATATTTAGGTATATCATACATAGGTAGATGTGATAGTGTACGTAATGAATTCGGTCTAATTTTAACCTTTAACGACTTTATTTTTCCACAATTTTCGGTTATGATTGCTAATTTAACTTTATCAAAGACATTCATTACGTTACAGTACTGAAATAGTTGGTCATAATTATCTTTAAATTTATATCTAATTCTAGGAGGTACAATGGTCTTAAGCAATCTTATTTGAAGGCTATAAATATTCTGTAGGAATGTTTTGTACGTACGACCATAGCTCGAAATACAATAATTAATTATAGAGTCAGACAGTCTCATCTCTAGTATTACTGCTCATCTCATGTCTAGTATTACTTCTTGCTTTTAGCAAGAAAGAGAAGAGAAGTTTTTTTTTTTAACCTTTATTATAATCGCGTTTGATTTCTTTTAGATCGTTTCAAAAACTTTTACAAGGTGTATATTAATTCAGGATATTTTCTTGCTTTAGCCAGTAGTTTATCACGATTAAGGCATGCAAAAACCGAGTGATTATGAAAACCGGTTTTTTCGGCTTTTAAGTTTCGGTTAATCGGTTACTCTGTTTTTTCGGATATTTTTCTACTGTCACCCAAATAATCCTCTAAAATGTCAGAATACTGAAAAAAACATCAAGTTAGTGTTGTATAAAATTATTTTTTATGGAATTCACAGCTAATGAGATCAATTATGTCTCGAATTATAATAAAAAAAACTAATCTAGCTAGTTATGCCGACAGATGAAAGAATACGGGTGAATGAAAGAAAGGTTGTGCCCATACCAAATGACCTAATTATGCTGGGCGAGGGACGCGAAATCTTGCGTTAACGCTAAGCCTTTTCCAGCTTGTCAGTAGCACCACCAGGACCCCACACGTTAAGCCTCATACGACTAATAGCTCTTGTATATTGTCTTTTGAAAGCTATATCCGTATACTCCCCACCCGATCAGATGGTGGTCATTGTCGATGTCTTATACTATAGTAATCCAGTTCTACCCAGGAGTTACACATGGCTTATGATTCTTTTCCGATTTGTTACATTTTTTATTACGGTATTCATAGTGGAAAGCAGTAGTTTGGCCTTTGTAACCTCACATTCTAAAATGACAAGAAACATTGTAATAACAAATGCATGCCACGTCCAAAGTAGAATAAGAAATAATAATAATGTCCGCCGCGATTTATGTAACACCTTATTCGTTTCCTTGAATTTTCAGCAAATAATTGTGAACTGATTTTGATGATTCTTTTTTTTATTGGAAAGATGGTACCACGGTACTGGTTCCATTTAAATTTGAAAAAATATCCCACCTCTAAGTAATTCAACGAACTTTTATAAAAAAGTTATTATTATTATTATTATTATGTATATTAAATAAATAGTTTTAAAAATGTACAGTTCAGAATTAACTGTGTGACGTCGAAAACTACTTAGCTTAAAACTGAAGTTAAACAATACAATGGGATCTAAATCAACGTGTTGCGACATTACGTCACGGCCGTGACAATGACGCTTGGTGTACGGTGGGGCTATGAAAACTTTTTGAATAGGAATAGAGCTCCTTGTGAGATTTCGTTCAGATGTGGAGAAGATGAATACCACCTTATCTATTTCTGCCTTTAAACACTAATATAAGCATTACTGGGTTCTGGTTTGGAAAGGAAATGGTGCTGGTAAAATTACATGCAAATAAATGGGATCTGTCAGCTTTTGACTCAGAGGGACAAGGAGATCTTTGCGACTTGAAGCACTAAGTGGCGCTGGTCAAGCGCGTCGCTTAACACCAGGCTTACGACTTGTTCGTCCTGTCACTTGATATTATAAAAAAAAAGAAAAAATCTTATTTGTAACGCAAGGCTGCAAGTTGTTGTTTGACTCGAGTTGTTGTATTGAAACCGGAGCAAGCGAATTAAGCTAAGATTGAAGCGAAGCGAGTGATTCGAAAGTAGATTCCTGAGCGTAGCGAGGGTTGCAAGACACGAGACGCAAAACAATTTTCACAAAAACACACAACTTTTCACCTCACTATAGCGAGGAAAATGGTAGATGAAAGAAAAACAGTTGAATTTTAAACATCAGTTTTTTTTTAATTAAAAGAAAAAGTTAATCTTCGGATGCGTTCTGAATTTACACTTCATCAATTTTTATTCTTGCTTGTACATTTTATTTTGATTATATAAGTGATTATTGAAATTATTTTAGTTCTTTCACGTTTTCTTTAGTTCTTGCGTTTATTAAAATAATTTAATAAACGCAAGTAGTTAACATTGTCAATTTATTATCAACAATAATAAGAATAAAATATACCATCGGATTTACATTACCTAAATAAGAAAAGTACGATAAATCGCGTAGTTGAACGTGTCAATATCTTTTTTTTTTATCGAAAGGAAAAGTTTGTGCACCACACCACAGTTCACCGTCCAGTTCGAATTTCAAAAACCTTTTCCATGCTAGCATGCAAAAAAACGCTTTTGCGCGCAGATGCCGCGCGAGGCACTGCCACTGCGCCCGTCATCCTGAGACATAAGTTGACAAGTCTTTTGTGCCTGTAATTTCACTAGCACCTTTCAAAACCGGAACGCAGTAATGCTGACACAACTGCTTGGCGCAGAAATAGGTGAGGTGGCAGTACTTCTCTGGACGAACTCTTTCATAAGAAGGCCTACTGCTACCCTATTTTATTACATGGTAAAAAAATAGTTCGCCACACGGGCTGGTTCAATCCGGGACTTTCTTCGATGTAAAAGGTTCATCACGACGTTTTCTTGTACTGTTAGCTGGAGTTATTGCTTCTATACATCCTCAAATGTACGTATCCTACTAATTAAAATCATAGGTACCGACATACTGCCACATCGAGTATATAACCAGTAGTAGAAACGAAATGTCATTTCATTTGTTTGAACACTATTCCACCAAATCATTACGGTGACAACTGTGCTCCGATTGGCCAGCCCGAATTCGAAACAATTGGCGAATGTCGTCAATTTTTTCGAATGTCGTCAATTGTTTCACTTAAAATCAACCAGTTTAAAATGAGCTTTGCTACAATGGACGTAAATTGAAAAATTACATATTTAATTACTGATGAAATGTGATTCCGTTTGTTTTGCAATTAGATGTTTTGCTCTTTTTCCCACACCACCGAATGGAACAAACCCCTATAGTTAGAGATATTATCTTTATTACAATAAATACAGAATATTTTTATCAGGTCAGTTGTTGGCGCTGTACTGTTTCAGTTTTCTAATTTGTGATTTCAGTGCGAACGAGATTTGAAATTTATCTCTTATCTCTTAGCTCTTATGTCGTCTTTATATACTCGATGTGCTGCCACAAGGATTCGAAGCGTTGATTTTTTAATAAACTATGAGCATGATAGAGGCACACGGTGTGACGACGCGACCTCTTGCACCGTCATTTCACCTTTTTAACACCCTTTTCTCTGGTTCCTGGTCACTTTCTTTAAATATTTTGAATCATTATCTTATTACTTTCCTTCGTCATTCCTACTTTGCTTCGTTCTATCGTTACTCTCATTAAAATTCTTGGAAAGAAAAAACGTGTTCTCCAGTTATGCAAACCGAACCATCCTTTTAGAAAGTGTATGCTTTATCCTTAAGCATATTCGTATGTAATTTAAGTTAGGGAGTGTTTTATAGAATTGTATCTGTGTTTTATATAATTGTTTTTTGTAACAACTTTTCTTATCATTTTCCTTAGTTTGTTCTTACAATGAAATTATGACCGACCGAGTTATACTCTTATTATTACGCAAGACCCGCGTAAAAACAATATCCCTAATGATTTTGGAAGTTTATATATATTTCTTATGCTGTGGACATTCCAAGGATTGGCACGAAGCGTAATGCTCCCATATTTATGTGGTGAATGGCTTTGGGGTGGCATTCCCTGCGTGCAGACTTATTCCCTCAACGCTATAACTTGGGCCTTTTCAAGACGAGAGTGAATAGTTATTACTTAGTGCTCATATATCACATGGCAGTATATCACACGCAATGTTTGACAAACCTCCCCGTGACATATTTATTTCAGTTTTTAGTATTATTATAATTTATTTTTTAAATTGCGAATACTGAATCGGTAAAATTTCGCACTAGAGTTGTTCGTTCTTTGGTTTATTTGATAATGAACTATTGTTA